CAGGTTCCAGGCCCACCTCCAGGATAACCGTGGGTGGTCGCGCATAGTTCCAGAAACTGAAGTGATTCCAGAAGTAGGCACTGTTTGCGTCTTCATAGTCACGGGATGTCTTCTCTAGGTCGATGGAGGCTCCTGGAGCAGAGAAGAAACAACCACTCAGAGACTCCCAGACCTGCCCAACTACTGGGTCAGGGTCTGTCTGAGGTTGGCCTCCTTGGTTTGGTCATGTATAAGTCTGTCTGTGTCAATGTCTACATCTCTTTTCATGTTTAGTGTCTCTGGGTCTTACCCACAGAGCTCAGCGCATAGTCGGGTTTTCGCACAAAATCCTCATTCAACCTCTGGAATACAAGCTTGGCCACTCTCTGAAAAGAGGGAGAACGGGCTTGCAGGCTGGTTTTGTAGGGCGAGGGGAATAGTTGTCTGGTATGGGCTTTGTGGCCCCAAGAGAAATCCTAAAGTTGGGGCTCTAGGGCAGGGTTTTAAGGTTGAGAACCCAGAAAATGGGGCTTAGAAAGGGGTTCCCAAGGGCAGGGACTGTGCAGCAGGTGGAGCACCTGAACACCCCTGGGGCCAGGCTGTGAGAGCAGGATGCTGCAGGGCTCACCTCACTGTTGGCTGTGCGAACACTGGACACCTCCTTGTGCAGTTTATCTAGCTCGGCCTGGAGCTGCTGTAACTGCTCCCCCTGGGTGCGCACACGCTCATGGTACTTGCTGCAGGCAGGAGATTTGCACAGGGTGGGCTGGCTCCCTATCCCCAGGACACTTCCCATAAGCCCCTCCACAGGAGCACCTTTGATTCCCCAAATTCCACACCCCAGGTGCCATCTTTCACCTTATAGTCAGCATCACATGTTCCTATTGGAGGGAGAGAAGGACAAAGTACAGGGCTACTCAGTTCCCACCTACCCCTAGTCCCACTTCAGTCTGAGAGCAGCCAGACTCAAAGGGCCTTCCTTTTGAGGACAGCCACCCCCTCCCTTGACCTTCCAGGACCCCTCAGAGACCCTCAAGCACCTCTGGGAACAATCTCAGAAGTCTATTTATATCCATCCCTTCCAGCACTGTCCCCTCCTCTCTGCAGCCTAGGGGACACCCCAACAACCTCCACTTTCATAGCCTGCCAACCACCCACCCCAGGACACAGTCTCCCAGACTCACACTCTCCAAAGGAGGGACCAGGTACAGGAGACCCCACCAGAGTGCTGAAGAAAAAGGGGGGGGGGTCTCAGGGGAAGGAAGGGGAAGAGGGTTTCTCTGGCATAAAGGACATTGAAGAAGAGGCTTGAGGGGTTTGAGTCTGAGGAGGGGACTACAGGGCTCTGAAGCAAGCAAACTGGAGAGCTTAAGGGGCAGAGTGAGCTAAGGCTATATAAGAGAAGATGATCCTGGTTTGGCTCCAAAGCATCCAGGGCTGGGACCCCAGGGAATTCACCCCCCTCACCTGTCAGAAAGAGGCTCAGCAGTGACACAGCGGTGAGCAGGAAGCGAATGGAACAGACCTCCCTGAAGAACCGGAGGGAGGCTGAGGCCCGGGGACACTAGTGAACCCCACAGCCCCCACCCCAGGTTCCTAGATCCAGCAGCTCCTGTGAACACGACTCAACCAGGTCTGAATCGGCTCCAGCCTCAGCTGGGTCCGGCCCTGCTCCCCGCCTCCTCCAAAGAGCAGCACCTGGGGCTCCCTCTTTCCTCCCTCTGACCTGTACACACTGACCAGCACGTCTCCTAGCAGGGATAAAAACACGCTCAGCACCTGGAAAAGTAGGCCTGAGAAGAGGAGAGGGTGCTCAGAGACGGGACTATGGCTTAGAGAGGAGTAGAGATGGAGAGAAGTGTGCTAGAATTAGATGGGGGCAAGAAAGTGAGTTTAGACTCAGAGAAGGTCGATCGGGCTCAGAGAAGGGGCTGTGGACTCAGGCATGGGCCGGGGGCTGAAAACAGGGTCTCAGGGAACTGGAATTCGGGGAGGGAAGCTGGAGGGTTAGGGGGGATCCGGGCTAGCCTGACACACATACTCAGGAAGTTCTTGAATACTCGCGGGGACTGCGTTTCCTGCCTCAGATCCAGGGTCGAGAGAAGATTGAACTGCTCCTCAGAGACTACGGGAAAGCCAGCCGGTTCTGCGGGAGCCCAAGGGCTCCATTGGGGGCCTTGCGCACCGCAGGCCCCTCTTTCCCCAAGACCCGGTCGCAGGTCCCCCAGCCCAGAAGCCGGGCAGGCTCTCACAGGCTTTGGTTCCACCAAGCCAGGTCTCTCAGCATTCTGAGGCCCCGCCCCTCCAGGAAATGCGCCCTCAAGCTGTTGGTCCCACCCCCAAACGGAAGCCCCGCCCCCAGCCTTAGGTCTTGCTTCGGCTCCTGTCGCAAGTAGCCAGTCATGCTAACACAGAGGCCACGCCTCCTCGGTGGTGTCCAATTACAGAATTTTCTTCTCCCTTCCCATGATCATCCATCACACATGTTATTTAATGCCTCCCCTCCTCACCCTATAGGCCTCGCCCCTTTGTAGGTGCCCAGACTGTTTTATCCCGGTCCCGGTCCCAGCCCCGCCCCTTGTGCCCTGCCCCCTCCCTCGGCTTACGCGTTTTCGACCCCGCCCGCACCCGAGGCCCCGCCCCTCACGGTTGCCGCGCCACCGGCGGTCTGCCCTTTGTGGCTCCGCAGCGCCGGCTTCTGCCGAGAGCTTCCAGCCCATGTGGATCCTCCGGGCACTCCTGAGCTCAAGGCGGGCTCACCGCAGCTCGAGCCCTGGGCTCTTCTGCCCTCAGGCTCCCCGGGCCCCGACCCAGCTGACCGATGGCCGCTGCTGTCCCCCGAGGTGGTGCTCACTGAGCTGTTGTCGCTATAGAAGTTGGGCGTGTGCTTGTGCGGGGACGTGGCCGAGCCCGGGCGGGGGCTCCGCCGCATTCTGACTCTGGGCCGGCCCCTCACGGACGCCAAAGTCGCCGCCGCAACCGGCAAGGCACTTGGCCCTTCCTCAGCCGATGCGCGCCGCCAGCACCCCTCGGAGCCTGCGTGCAGCCGGCGGGCCCTACGACCGGACCCAACCTTCTCCCTTGTTTCTGAGCCTGCCTGACGTCATAGAGGAGACCATGATCTCTGCGGAACGCCGCGACCGAGCGTCACAGAGCCAGTCGCGGATCACTGGGAGCCATGGCAGTCTTATTTCACAAGTTAAAGCAAGCAATGACATCACAGCACTTCCCAGAACACCCTATCTAAAACTGCACTCTTCCTACATCCTCTGGTACCTTCAACAGGCCTAGCATGTAATAGGTTCTCATATATTTATAAATAAATGAATGTTAAGAAGGGGCAAGGGATCACACAAGGCACGTCTAAATAAACATTTGGTCTCTTTTGCTCTACAAACCCTTGAAGGCCCTGCTCTCATCTTAGTTATCAGGCCTGAGAATGCTGACATCGGGATATGTGGCTCCCTCTCTCAGATCCATATTCACCAGGAGTCTGTGGGGTGAAAATTCAGTACGCACTAATCATCATATCCACACAGAAACCAACCATGTGAGTCGCGGAGAAGGAAATGGGAAAATCACAGAGGGTCACAGCCAAAAAACCAGAGGTTCAGATTCCTGTGCAACAGCATACCAGTGCAGCAGATAGAAATTCAGGTTCTCAGGCACACCTTGAGATTCTACTTCAGCATTTCTGGAGTGGGTGCAGGAATGTGCATTTTTAACAACCACATATTGTGTGCTCCTGTTGTTTGTTTTGTTTTGTTTTTTAATATGGAATGCTTCACAGATTTGCGGGTCATCCTTGTGCAGAGGCCATGCTAATCTTCTCTGTATCGTTCCAATTTTAGTATATGTGCTGCCAAAGGGAGCACTGTGATCCTGTTTAAGGACCACAATTGAAAAGCAATTCAGTGCATCCTGTTCACATTGCACAACTAGGCAAACAGGTCTAGAGAGGGGAAAGGACGTACCTAAAACCACACAATGGGTTATAGAGATTAGAATTTCAAAACCCAGTACTCCTTCTGCCACATCCCATCTTCTTTGGAATGTTAGAAAGTGGCAGTGGCAGTTCTTAGAGGGTTTGACGCCGAGGGAGAACCTGCCAGGCTGTGTTCCAATCCAGAGAGCAGGGTTTGTCTTTTTGAGTTTTTAATCCTTACCTGAGCATATTTTTCCATTTATTTTTAGACAGAGTGGGGGAGAGAGAGAGAGAGAGAGAGAGAGAGAGAGAGAGAGAGAAAGATTGATGTAAGAGAGACACATCGATTAGTTGCCTTCTGCATTACCCTGACCAGGGCTGGGGATGAACCTCAACCTAGGTACGTGCCCTTCACTGAAATCGAACCCATGACTCATTGGTCCGCGGGCCAACACTAACTGCTGAGCCAAAGTGGCCAGGGCGAGAGCAGGTGTTTTTGCATTAGATTCCAGAGGAATGGCATCAATACCTTGTTTGATTAGATACCACAGAGCTCAGGGAAGGAAGGGAGGAAAAGGTCAAGGCAATGCAAGCTAAAAATTCTGGTCCCCTCTGCTTTTGTTTGGGTCTCAGTGTTCCCACCTGTCAAATGGGGAGGCGAAGCCCTACCCCAACATGTAGGGGTCTTGAGGTCTAACCTGGACCTTGCTTAGAAACAGAACAATTCATGCCTCTTGTCTGGTGTTCTATAGACCCCCAAACACATATGAGTGAGTACCTAACACCTGGGAAATAGGTAGAACAGGACTTTCTTTCTCTTTTAAATGCAACATACAAACTTTATTTAACAAAAATAACAGATAAAGTCAAACAGGCACTCATATTAAGAGAAAAACTAGAAGAAAATTATCTTAAACACCTTACAGTAACCTACTTGCAGTTGCATTTAACTGAGCTCTGTTCCAGTGAAGAATACAGCTCATGCACAGGTATGGATGAATGATTTGTACATTTTTCAAGTATTCACTGAATACTGCCTTATATACACATTACGTTAAATTTGAAAAAGATTTAATTGACGATCCCCAGATATACTTCATTTTTGTTGATCTTTTGGAAGAGGTTGTCTAAAGAGAAAAATATGTGGTTTTGGCTCATGAATCATGTAATGGACCCAGCCTAGACTCTGTTGGACACCAAGTTCCCACTCTTCTTCTGATATCAGATGGGTTTTGGGTACTTGTTTGGAAAGTTCTTTGGGTAACATGATATGCCAGTACCCGTAGTGCTCATTGAAGTGTTTGTCTGAGTAGATCTGTTTGTGGGCCATCCTGCCAGCAAGTGAGCCCCGCAGAGGGGAAGCGACAGGGCAGGAAGAGCGGGTGCAGCGAACCAACAGTCCCCAACGTGCCAAGGAAGCATCTCGACTGCCTAGTACAAGACTTTCTAGCCCCACTATTGAAAAAGAAAAGCTGAAGCACAAGAGGGGACCATGTCTGGCTCAAGGCCACACAGCAAGGCCCAGCTCCTCTGATGGTCTAATCTTATCTGCTGTAGCCATCCAATACATTCCTTACAGGAAGGCCAAAGTGAACAAATCACAGATCCAGGAACACACCCTGCATTCCTCCCCACTGCCTGGATGTCCATCTCTGCTCAACTCCTATCCTCAAAGTTCATTTTATTTTATTTTTTTATCCTCACCCGAGGACATTTTTTTTGTTCAGGTAGAGTGGGAGGAAGAGAGACATCGATGTGAAAGGGACACATCGAGTGGCTGCCACCCGCATGACCGCCCAGGGCCGGGGACAAACTGCAACCAAGGTACATGCCCTTAGCGGGAACCGAACCCGGTTCTCTCTGGACCACAGGCTGATGCTCTAACCGCTGAGCCAAACCGGCCAGGGCTCAAAGTTCATTTTAAATGTTCCCTCCTCAAGAAAGCCGCTCTGGTGTCCCTCCTCTGAGCAACCCAGCCTGATTTGTTTCTGCTCTGATGGGGATTGCAGTCTTTCTAGGCTTTGTTTGATGTTGCAGTCCATGAAGCTACTGGAAGAGAAAGAATCTGTCTGATTCATCTCTGGCTGCAACCCCTTCCCCTCAGGTTGTCATAGCACAAGTCCTGCACATAGGAGGTGCCATTAAATAGAATGATTACGTGGATGGCCATGAAATACACTCAGCACATAGTTATTGTCATCCACTGGTTCAGGCTACGAGATACATTCATTCCTTCATACATTCAGTAAAAGTACTACACATCTGTTTAAGGGTTATTAATCTAACCCAGGAATTCTATGTTCAGAAAAATGCACATGTGCTCAATATGTTACATGACTCCCCAGAGCCCATCTATGGTCCCGCTAGAAAGCTCAAGTTAACGACCTCTGGCTTCTGGTTAAGAAGTTCTTTTGAATGCCTGTTATGTGCAAGCTAGGAACGTATTCAATCACTCATTAATTCAATAAATGTGTTGCGTGCCTACAGTACTAATGCTGGGGGCTACGAGATTTATTTATTACCCCATTCATTTATTTAGTCAGTGTTTTGAGGGTCTACAATGTAACCAGACCATGAGCTTGGCATTGAGGACAGAGAGGTGAACAAGTAACCAGTTGAGGCCCCATGCCCTGAAGGCCCCATTGGCCAGCTGGACCAAACTGGGGGTGCTATCCTCTCCCCTTGCCTCCATCCCCACCTAGTCCCAGCTCCGACCACACAAGAATGCAGGATGGAGGCTAGAGTTAGTGCAGGCAGGGAGGACTGAGCTGACCAGAGGGACCTTACACCCATCTCTCAGTCCTCCCATTCCTTCCCCACCTATGACCCCCAGGCCAGCAGTCTGTGTGTTTGACTAAAGGGCAGGGATTGCTGAACTTGCTGGGTGAGTCCAATGACTCAGAGGCGATTCAGTTGTGCAGGAAGGTGGGCAGGAGAGCAGGCTGGCAGAGGTAGAACCAGTGGCCCTGGGACAATGGCTCTGACCGTGTGTGTGCGGCGACTGACGGGGCTGCCGGGCACCCATGACCGACAAGTGAGGCTCAGCTTTCGGGGTGAGGCTTGCAGGGCTGTGCTAATGATTTTTGGAACAGGGGAGCTCTATTCCCAAAGTCCCAACTCATCCCTAGGTATCTCTACAGCCTGTCCCTTTCTCCCTCAGCCCAATTTCCAGCTCTGTGCCTCCCTCCCTCTCCATCTTCTCCCTTTCTTTGAGGAGTGAGTCCAGGGAGACGGGACTCTGGCCCAAGGATGGGGGGGGGGGGCTGGTTTTATCATGGGGGCGCTGGTAAATGACTAGATTCTATTCTGAGCAGGTTTTACCCAGAAAACAAGGAGAATTCACTGTGGACAAGAGGCAGATATTGGTGAGGTCAGTGGGGTCCTGAATGGAGAGAAGCTGATTTATGCCCCATCTAAGTCCATACTGAGGTTGGGCGGCTCCTTCCTGGGTTTTGAGAGGTATTGTTTCAGGAAATGGGGTCAGTCTCAGGCTTGAGAGATCAGACCCAGTTTGAGACAAGTCAAAATCAAGATGAGGGATTATGATTGGTAGTTCTTGATTGGTATCTTTCCCAGCTCAGTCCTAGTTTGGAGTCAACCCCATGTTAGAGGTGGTGGTTCCAGGTTTGAAAGATCAGTCAGAGGGTTGGCTCCAAGTGTGGAGCGTTGGCTTCTGTTTCAGAATTGGGTGCAGGCTCTGGACTGGGGTGAGGGTCAGCCTAGCATTGGGTGTCACAAATTTCCTCCTATCCCCAGCTGTTTCGTTGGCCACACTATGGGGCTCCACTGACTGGGGAGTGTCTGTCTGTTCAGGTGGTCAACTGCAGCCGTGTGTTCAGCTCCAGGTAAGTAGGCCTGCGGGAGCCAATAATGCAGGTGGGGCTGGGAGTGGCTTGGGGCCATTCCCTGGGTCACTCTTCTGCTCCATGCCACACTCCCAGGTCTCTGGGGACCCTGGTAATCTCCCTACAGCAGCTACAGATTGCTGGGCATTTGGTGTTGCAGGAGGCCCTAGTGGATGAGAATCTGCGAGTGTCCCCGGTGAGTCCCACCATCCCCCAGCCTGCCACCCCCAATCCTGAGAGTCCCTCTAAATAGATTACATTTCTCTGAGGGAAAAACCTAGACCCAGACAGGAGTGGTAACAAGGCCCCCTAGCCAGGGCTCCTCTCATTACAGCCCCTGCTGAAGTCTCACATAGGCCAAGAACCAGGTTCATCTCTGAGGGTCAGGGGTGTGGCAATGGGGAAAGGTAAGAAATTCTATGTTGCTCCCTGACTCTGACCCAAGCTCAATTCTTGTGGGAGACAAAGATAAAGCTGGCTGGATTTTCCTGGTGTGTCATGAGGGTCAGTAGAGCCTGGTACAAATGGACCTTGGTACAAATCTCAGATCCATCATTTCCCAGCTGAGAACTTGGACAAGTTATTAGTTTCTTGAAGCTGTTTCCTCATTTACATTGCGTGGAGTCATACAAAATGAGCTTTTCATTCAGTCTGTCATTATTTGTTGAGCTCTCATTATAAACCAAGTGCTGTGCTGAGCAATGAGGATTGAGTAGTGAGCAAAGCCAGGCAAGGGTTTGCCCTTTCAGCGCTCCATAGCTAAAGAGAGAGGCAAACATTAAACAAATATTCACTCAAATAAGTGTAAAATTTCCACTGGCCATTCTTTTTTTTTTTTTATCCTCACCCGAGGACATTTTTCCACTTTTTTTTGGTTCAGATAGAGTGGAAGGGAAAGAGAGGGAGAGAGAGAAAAACATCGATGTGAAAGGGACACATCGAGTGGCTGCCACCCACACGACCAACCAGGGCCGGGGACAAACTGCAACTGAGGTACATGCCTTTAGCGGGAACTGAACCCGGGTCTCTCGGGATTGCAGGCCAATGCTCTAATCGCTGAGCCAAACCAGCCAGGGCTCCACTGGCCATTCTTATAAAAGAGCTGGTAGGGGGCTTGGAGAGTGTACAACAGAGGAATGTGGTTTATTTGGAGGTCAGAATAGGTTCCCTGAGGAAGTAGTGCTTGAGCTTGGAAATGAAGGATGATAGGAGTTAACTAAGAGGAGAGATTGTTCCAGGCAGAAGAACTGGCATGTGCCAAATAGCCCAGTGCCCTGAGAGAACAAAACGGGTACAGGGCAGGAGCAGATCCCCTAAGAGATGGGGTGGCATGGACCAGACCACATAGAGCTGTGAAGGCCACAGTAATGGATTTCCAAGCACAATGAGAAAAATTTGGAGTCCTTTTTAGCCCCTTCAAGAGGTAACTTGCACATAGTAAATTCTTAATAGGTTATGAGTAGTCAGTATTAGTAATGATCAGAGGATTCACAAGTCACCACAAAGGCAGGCCAGAAGGGTCTCTGTTCATGGGTAGGATAAAAGGCATTGTCCTTGGGCTTTTCTTAGCCCCATGGCAGTTTGAAGGGCCTTAGGGCACACTGTGTATCTGGTTTCAGATTCAGGTGGAGCTTGACCTGAAGTACCAGCCCCCAGAGGGTGCAACAGGAACCTGGGCAGAGGAGGACTTTGGGGCACCCATCCGGGACAGGTAGACTGCCTCCATCAAACCTAAGCAAGGCCTGGTGGTGCCCGCCTGGGTAGGCCTTAGGAAGGGAGAAGTGGTACCCAGTTCCACTCTGGATCTGCTGGATATGGTGACCTTTGCACTCATGCTATCCAGCTTGCAGATCTGTAGTCAGGCCTGACCCTTTCATGTTTTTCATTTTTCTTCTTCCCAGCTTGGAGCTGGTCATCCCTAATGTGGGCTTTCAGGAGCTGGAGTAAGTATGTAGGGTGACCTGGGGTCACCAGGTCACTCTTTAGATTAAACACCAGCGATGGGGGTCAGTTCCTGGATCTGGGATCTGTACTGGATCAATTCCAGGGTTAGAAGTCAGTCCCAGAATCAGTAGTCAATTCTGGAATGAGAGGTGTTCCAGGTTAGGGGTCAGTCCTGGGATCAGTGGGGTCAGTCTCGGGGTCAGTCTCAGGGTCAGAGGTCAGTTCTAGGGTCTGAGAAGTCAAGGGGTACCCAGAGATGGGTGACAGGTCCCAGACATGTCCCTTGAGGGCTTTTCCTATCAGGCCTGGGGAGGCACAGCTGGAGCGGCGGGCCATGGCATTGGGCCGAAGGCTAGCTCGAGGCCTAGCTCAGCAGGATGATGAGGACAATGAACTGGAGCTGGAGCTGGAGCTGGAAGACGAGCCTGATGTGGAGTTTTCTGGCATTGTGTTCAGTCCTCTTAAAAGGTAACTTGTATGCACTGCACACCACCAGTTCCCTCACCCCACCAGTGTGTCAGGCCCAGTGCCCATCCACTCT